AAGCGTAGCTCCCTGTGTGACATGATCTTGTCAAGTCACAGTTTTGCCAGCCCACGTGTAGGAGGGCTTGAGGGTTAGGTAAACGTGTTGTTGTGTGCTGTTGAGCAGATTCTCAGTCATAGTGACCCTAGATGACACAATAGAACTGCCCCATAGGGCTTCCTAGGTTGTAGTCTTTACAGAAGGTGCCTTGGTGGCTCAGTGGTTAAAGTGCTTGGTTACTAACAGCCACACCACAACAGAGAGATGTAGCAGTCTGCTTCAGTAAAGACTGACAGTCTAGGAGAGCTCTTCTCTGTCCTGTGGAGTCATTATGAGTCAGAATCAACTCGCCAAGTACAGGTTTGGTTTGGGGTTTAATCTTTACTGGAGCAGGTCACCAGGTCTTTTATTCCATGGAGCCAAAGGTGAACTTGAATCATCAGCATTTCAGTTAGCAGTTGAGCGCTTAACCGTTGTGCCACTGGGGTTCATTTCTGTAACTCTAACCCACTGCCATCAAGTTGGTTCTGACTCATAGCAATACTGCAGGCCAGAGTAAAACTGCCTCATAGGGTTTCCAAGGCTGTCATCTTTGTGGAAGCAGACTACCACATCTTTATCCCCTGGAGCGGCTCGTGGGTTCAGACCCCTGACCTTTTGCTTAGCAGCCCCTTGCTTTAATCACAGTGCCATCAGAGCTCCTCTGCACCTGTGTGTCTATCTACCCTGCCTTTATAAGGGTCACCAGTCAGACTGGCCTAGGAGCCACCCTCCTTCAGTAAGGACTCGATGCCAGCACAGCTGACAGTGTCCTCACAGACCCTGTTTGCAAACTGGGCCAGTCACAGTACCAGGGTCAGGCGTTTGATACATCTTTTGGGGACACAGTTCAGTCCCTGGCACTGACCTTAGGACCCGTTGGTTCCCCTGGGTCAGAACCTGTGCCCTTCCCTCCCTCAGTCGACTCGTCCAGCTCACTGAGGGACCGAGGGCCACCTCTCAGCCCTTCACCTCCGGGAACGTGGCCTTTGCTCTTCCTTCAAAAAGCCACAACCTCTCCCAGGAGCTGTCAGGGTCATTCATGGGCCTCCAGTCCTGTTTCTTGGAGTCCTTTGTGGCTCTCTCGATACGTGCTATCTGAGCTCCTGGTCCCGCCAGCTGGGCCTTGTACCCCTTGCACTTTGCTTTTTAAGGGACTGCTTCTTGAACCTTCTCACGTTCCCTCTCGGCATCAGCTCACTCCGTGGGCCGGCAGTTACCAGCAAACGGCTCACTTTTCCAGCATCCTGGTAGTCGTGGAAGGCAGAACACACGTTTCTAAGGCAGCTCTTCCAAAATTCCAGGGACCTGAACCAAAGCACCTGTAACACACACACGTTAAGTGCTGGGGGGACCCCCGAGGAATCCTCCAAGGAGCAAGGTGGCTTGTCCCCATTTCCTGTTTCGGTCGACTTAAGATGTCACTCATCTGGGAGTCATTCCGAGTATCTCTTGTTGATGTGCAGTGTTGGTTTACCCAGGGACGTCCCACCGCCAGTCCCTCAAGTCAGCTCTGACTCCTGGCGCCTCCATGTGTGTCCAGTGGACCTGAGCTCCATAGGGTTTCAGGGGCTGAATTTCCAGAAGGAGTTCACAGGTCGCCAGGCCTTTCTTCTGAGGCACCTCGGGGTGAACTCAAACCGCCAGCCTTCCAGTGAGCAGCCGAGCGTGTGAACATCGTACCTCCCAGGACCCCAATATGCATCCCCCCAAAAAAGCACCATCCACCGTCATCAAGTCGAGCTGGTAAATTTTTACAGAAGTGGATTGCCCACCTTCATTCTATGGAGCGGCTGGTGGGTTTGAACCACCAACCTTCTTATTTGCTGTCAAACCCCTTAGGCACTGTGTCACCAGAGCTCCTTAATATGCATACATGCACTTTAAAAAGTTCTGTGTCCATAGCCAAGGGCTCATTACCAAAAAATATATTAAAGGGTCGGTAACTAATTGGCCGGAAGGAAGGCTGGGCAATCTACTTCCATAGTGATACCACCTCAGAAACCCAAGGAGGGGTCGTTATGAGTCAGGTCTGACTCAACAGCACATAACAACAAACTAATTGGCAAGGAACCCTGGTGGCATAGTGGTTAAAGCTTTTGGCTGCTAACCAAAAGGTCAGGAGTTTGAACCCACCAGCTGCTCTATAGGAGGAAGATGAGGCAGGCGGCTTCCATAAAACTTACAGACTTGGAAACAAGGCCGTTCCACTGTGTCCTCTAGGGGCGCTGTGAGTCAAAATCAACTCCACAGCAGGGGGTGTGGTTTGGGCTTTGCTACCATAGACTGACAGCCTTGGAAACCCTCTGGGGCAGTTCCACTCTGTCCTCTAGGGGCGCTGTGAGTCGGAATCGACTCCAAGGCAGTGGGTGAGGTTTGGTTTTTGGAACTTTTTGCCACCAGGCAGCTCTCACCCTGGCTCTGCATTGCCTTACCACCTTTTGTCCCCCACACACCGACCAAGTCTCAGCTCTTGTTTCACTGCCTGAGGCCGTTGCTTTTAATGAAGAACTGGCCTTCCAGTAGCTTCCTGGTACCTGCTCAGCTTCTGGGGGGGGGGGGCGTAGTGGGTGAGATCACTTCTGCGGACTCCACTTGGAAGAAGATAACGCTTGTGTGTCTAATACTGTGCTGGCTGCTTTAACTTTTGGCTGTTACACAGCCGTCTGTGAACGCCATTCTTTTTCAATGCCGTACCACCCACCATCCAGACATCTTCCTGGTTTTAAATCAAACAGTTGCCCCTTTGCTTAGTTTTCACCTGAATTCGTACCAGGTAACTTCAGTCTTATCTAAATACCTAATGACACGTGCAAAAAGGATGTAGGGGTGGCAAAATCCAACCTCCTCTAACATCACAATGGGGGAGGAGAATCAAGAACATCAACAGCCCAAGGCTGGTTCCTGTGAGGAACGTGTGTCCACCCTCCGACCTTTTTACCGATTCTGACACCACTTCCCTTCCCACAGCACCCTGTACCTCTCCACTGTATTAGGTCATTCATTGTAACGGCCACATAGAACTCACAGGCAATACTCATGATTACAGGGTTTATTAGAGCAGTAAACCCAGCCCAACCCACTGTCATCCGGTTGATTCTGAGTCAGCAACCCTGTAGGACACAGTAGAATTGCCCCAAAGGGTTTCCACAGCTGTAAATCTTTGCAGAAGCAGATTGCCTCATATTTCTCCTGCAGAGCGGCTCATGGGTTTGGACCACCGACCTTTTGGTTAGCAGCCAAATGTTTTAACCACTGTGCCACTAGAGCTGCTTTATTCAGGATCAGAAACAACTCAAGGTACAATTGTTCAGTCAGGACAGCTTCTTCTCAGCCATGTTACAGGCACACTTCTCTCGGGCCTGCTTGGGCCAGTGTTAGAAAGTTCTTTCAGCTATGCAGATAGGTGCCCAAAGAGGCACCCCACACCGCCCACAACCTCTTGCCTAAAGGCCCTCAGCTTTCTTGCTCCATGGACCAGGAAGCCCAGCACTGTGTCTTGTACAGTCTCTTGGTCCTGCTGCCATGGATTTTCTCTTCCTGTCTCTTGCCAACTCAGCCAGGCACTCTCTCTGTCTCCTGGCCGAGGAGGATCCCTGTTCAGCACAGGGATCTTGGGTCCAAAGGATGCAGTCTACTACTGGCTCTTCTTTCTTGATGGTAGAGAGGTTTCCCCCTTTCTGCCGCTGGTAGGGCTCATTTTAAGCCTAGCAGGATGGCAGAACTGGCCAGTCCCCACATTAGGTTTCCATACACCTTGTTTGCATGGTCACACCTCCACAAGGGTGCCATGTACCTTACTTACATTATTAGCAAGCTCTCCAGGCCTCTTGGTGGACTGCAAGCCCCTCACATTTTATGGTCCCACCCCGTCGTCTGGTGGGAGTCACAAAGACCATGGCTAGAAGAGCCACGTTAAGTGACCCGTGGCACCACAGTACCCAGACATCCGCCTTACAGACAAATCCTGCTTGTCCTTTCATATTATGTAAATCTGCTCACAGTTTGAAGAGATTGAAGCAGCCCCCACTTGCAAAAAATTCTTCATCATAATCATCTTCACCTGCTGCACTTGCTTTTGGGTCATTGAAAAGGCTTGAGCTTTGCCTTAAACTAGCCAAAACCAAACCCACTGCCATTGAGTCACTTCCTACTCATGGTGACCCTAGAGGACAGAGGAGAACTGTCCCACAGAGTTCCCAAGGCTGTCAGTCTTTACAGAAGCAGACTGTCTGGTCTTCCTCCCAAGGAGCTCCTGTGGGTTCACACCACTGACCTTTTGGTTGGCAGCTGAATGCTTTCCCCACCGTGCCACCAGAGCTCCTTTTCTCACACTCAGTAAGAAACATATGCACCTGTTCTGACTTACCTACAAATACTGCAGACACAGGAGCGACTATCGTCTGCAGCCCAGGGACTGCCAGTGTCCGTCTGGGAACCCGTTGTCGCCGCGTGGACTTGACTGACGCAGCGACAACTGTGTGTCAGAGCAGGACTGGGCCTGCAGGGTTTTCAGGCGCTGATTTTTCAGAAGTAGGTTGCCAGGGACTCCTGCCATCTGAGACAGAAGGGTGATTACAAAATAAATTCCAGTCCGTGGAGTTCTGCCTAAGCTTTGCCGCATCACTCCAGCCTCCTGGTGCCATCGATAAGCAGTAATTCAAAAATAAGTCTCAACTTTATATGCAACTTCTTTCCCAGCTGGTCTGTCATCCCCAGGAGGGAAGCATCATGTGTCACCATGTCTTTCCAGTGTCTGGGTTATAGTTCAGGACACAGAGCCAAGCTCTGATATCAGTGGGATGCAGATGGCGGTGACACTGCCAGTACTACCACAGACTAGAAACCTCATGCATTCCAAGTGCATTCTCCACTGAAGGGTCATGGGGTTACAGCCCACAATATCTAGCAGAGCCTTTTGTCCTGGGTTGTAAGAGCCCTCTTACTAATCTCTCTTGGGTGTTTAACATTTTGCACAGGATTACATGCAGAATGTTCATGGTAAAGAGATTGATCTCCTGCGAACAACTGTGAAAGTCCCGGGGAAGAGGCCACCCCGAGCCACGTCAGCCTGCGCTCCTATCTCCAGCCCCAAGACCAACGGTCTGGCCAAGGACATGAGCGGCTTGCACATCTCACCTAATTCAGGTAGGCATGCGGCCAGCACAGGAAGGGGGTCGGATGTCGCAGCGGTGTGCGTGGTGCCAGCCTAAGGTCAGTGTTGGCCTTCGCACTTGTAATGAAGGCCTGGACACGGCATCCCTTCCGTGACTTGTCATTTTCTCTATGCCAGCGGGTTGTGCCTGCCAGGGAGCCACAGCCGTACATACCAGCCAGCCAGGTGTTCTCAGGCTCGGCTAGTTAAAGGCAGAGTTTACACCCAAACCAGGTATATGGAAGTGCTGACTACAAAACATGAATTAATTGCTAAGGTGTCAAGGACTCGTGTAAACTAATTTCTGATCATGGTATGGGCCCCTGGAGTGGCACAGACCATTTGCACTTGACAGCTAACTGAAAGATTGGCATTTTGAACCCACCCCCTGGTACCACAGGAGAAAGGCCTGATGATTGCTTCTGTAAGTCACGGCCTGGGAGACCCTCGGGGGGCAGGTGTGCTCTGTAACACTGGTTGCTATGTGCTGAGATTGACTCAGCAGAGGTGGGTAGGGAGTAATTACATCTATGCAGCTGGAAAAGACGCCTGGACAAGATTTAAAGAAAGCCATTTGGACCTATAGAAATTTTTGATTTGCCCATTTTTATACCTTAACTGTTATTGGTTATTCTTTGTTCTAGTTCCCTAGTGCCGCTCTGACAAGAATATATACCACAAATGGGATGGCTTAAAAAAACAGGAGTTTATTCTTACAATTTGGAGGCTTTAAGTCCAAGTTCAAAGTGCCAAGCTTTAGGGGCTGAGTGAAAGCCCCTCAGCCTTGGGCTTCAGCTCTGCCTCCAGCTCCTGGCCCACTGAAGCTGGAGGCTTTCCTTCACTCAGACAGCTGCTGGCTGCTGAGGTTGCCAAGCCCAAGGTTGACAAGTAAAAAGGCACAGTCCTGATGTCACTAAACCACACAGCAGGTCATTAATTCAAGTCCATTGTGAGTCCCAAAGTCAGCAGATCATGGCAGGCTGCTGAGCGGCGACACAGCTACACGCAGGGTCCAAGCGTGCCATCAGCTGGAGACCATTTCCCAAGGCTTCTGTTTATATACAGGAAGCAGACCACAGCCCTAGGGCAGCTACTCAACTGCTCACAGTAGATTCCACCATGGAGTTGATGACCAGTCTCATCATGGGGAATACTACATCCTGCTGCCCAGCCACTCAAGCAGGCCCAGCCAAGTTGACCCACAAACTGAACCACCCACATTCTTTAATGCAGCTTTATTTTAGTCTTGTATATTTTCTTTCAAAGGGGTTGTCTTTTTTTTTTTTTTCCAAACAATGCAGGATTCAAGGAGGTGTTTTCTCTAAACGAAGCATCTTTAGAAGGCATTTGTGCGTAGTTGCAAAGCAGTCCGGGTGTCACTGCTCGTATTTATTTCCATCTTTGCAGACAGTTGTGCACAGCCCGCAAAGCTTCCTGTGATTTCCCGTCAGGGGCGGTGTTAAGAACCACCTGAGTCCTCCCACTTGCGTATCAAGCACCTTCAACATAGGCGTCCCTTGAACAGTGTTAACTGCTGCTCTGTCCTTCTCTGTGACCTGCACCCAGCCTGGTCACAGCAGGCCTCTCTGCTCGTTTGCAGTGTCTAGCCCGTCTCTCCTTAAAGGTGCTGTGTGTTTTCCCGTCTGAGCTGTCACGTGTGTTGAGAGAGGGATGATGCTGACACCTGAGCCCTGTACCATGAGACACTGGTGGTTGGAAGCAGGAGAAGGAGAAGTAGCCAGAGACCGGGCTTCACACAGCGTTCGGAGGAGGGTCACCAAGGCAGTTTCGTGGCCACCACGTTAGGCTGGTCCACTGTCTCCATAGGTGTGGGCAAACTGGCAGAGTGCAGCACACGTGTAAGCCATGTTTCCAGGTGGCATAGAAATGGGCTTTCTGCTCAAGGAGGTGGAAGTGTGTTCCAAAGTGGCAGGTTCTTCAGCCTGGTCTCCTGACCTGCTTGCCTTCTTCCAAGACGTCCATGGCATGTCCATTGTTGGGATAGTGTGCCAGTAACTGTGGGACGGGAAAATGAAGAGGTGCTTGAGAAAGGAAAACACTCATTGTGGATGCACAGCTAGTGCCTTCGTTCCTCAGCAGTCAGCCTTCCATTGAGTAGCTCCTCTGGGCTGAGAGATGGTGGGGCTGTGCACACAGCAGGGAGCCCTGGTGGCACGTGCTTAAAGCATTTGGCTGCTAACCAGAAGGTTAGTGGTTTGAACCCAGTAGTTGCTCCATGAGAGAAAGATGAGGCGTTCTGCTTCTGTAGAGATTTACAGCTTTGGAAACCTTATGGGGCCGCTCTCCTCTGTCCTACAGAGTCACTAGGAGTCAAAATCAACTCAAGTGGTTTGTACCACTCTTTGGCACACTTTGGTGCATACAGAGTCCTTAACCCCAAACCTTACAGTCTCTTCCAGACAGTCACCTTGTAGCTAATCTCCCCCATCCTTCTCAGACCCTTCATGGCAAGTCTATCCATTTGTTTATTCAAAACCAAAACAAACCCAACTCACTGCCCTTGAGTTGATTCCAACTCATAGCGATCCCTCCCTGGGTGTCTGAGGCAGTATCACTATGGAAGTAGATTGCCCAGTCTTCCTTCCAGGGAATGGCTGGTGGTTAGCAGTCAAGTGCCTTAGGCACTATGCCACCAAAGCTCCTTTGTTTATTTATTTAAGTCAACAAATAGTAATTGGATTTCCAATGTGTGCCAGGCACTGTCCTAGGCTGTGGGGACAGAGGTGAGAAAGATAGACTTCCTACCCTCAAGAATCTGTCCCTCTGGGAGGGAGAGATTCCGGTGGACAAGTAAATGTAGCAGGCCACAGTTAGATGCCATCAAGTTGGCTAGGACTTGGGGCTGCTTTTCGTAGAGCAGAACGAAACGGTCCTGGTCCTGTACCCTTAGCAATCTTGTTGGTACATTTGAGGCCATCAGGATGGTATAGTCAGTGCCGCCCCAGGAGGTGGGCAGGACTTCAGGGCATAGGGGGAACCTGTGTTGGGTTTGAAAAATAGATAGCCTTTGCCAGGCTTATGGAATGGAGGAAGGGCACCTGGGGTTTGAAGAAGTGTTGCATACAGACGATTTTGGAGCCCTTGAGGTACGGTGGCTAAGTGCTCAGCTGCTAACCAAAAGGTCAGTGGTTTGAACCCACCAGCAGCTCCGTGGGAGAAAGACGTGGCAACATGCTTCTGTGAAGACAATAGCCTGGCAAACCCTACAGAGCAGCTCCACTCTGTCCTCTAGGGGCGCTGTGGGTCAGAATGGACTCCAGGCAGTGGGTGTGGTTTGGGCTTTGCTTCTGTGAAGACTG